CGACACCATGCGCACGCTCACCTGGTGCGGTATCTGACCGGGTTTCGCCTCCCAGCCGCCCACTACCCTCGAAACTGATCCTGTGGCAAGACTCCAATCGTTAGCGTAAGCGAAACAATCTTTGAATGATGAGAAGCCTTTTAACGGTTGAAGTTCGTTAAAAGGACGAGGTTCTCTTTTCGACTGTATTTTTGTGTGTGTGTGTGTGTGTGTGTGTGTTACGCGATTGCTCCGGCGTTTGTGAATCGATTTTGATGATCCTTTTTTTGGAAAAAGGGTACGTCGGTATTGGTCGTGTTTAAATTTGAAGAAAATATTCCACGTCTAAAGGTAGGAAATTCGGTGATAAATCAGCATTCAGTTCATTTACTCAGCCAGGAACCTTTACAGCTGAAAGGGTTGTAACCCTAACTAGCCGTGAACAGGTTCACGGCATTGAAATGGGAAACTTCCGGTCCACAAAATTTATTAAAGAAGTAAAGTTTAAAGAAAGGCTGTAACAATATAAAGGTAAATGTAAAAAAACAGGTATAACAGTATAAAACACTCCCTACACTTTATTATTAAGGCACTTACCCCTAAATGGGCCAAGAAACTGATTACAGAAATAGATACATGAAGGGTGTAGACTTATAAATTATTACACATGATTAGCTTATTAACAGCTCTGACTGTTGTGGCGGTCGAGCTGGGAGTGACCGTGGTACGAAAACAAAATGAGAAAGTGAAGGAAGTTGGAACAATTCAAATTTAAAATTTAAATACATGTAAAATAAAAAAAATGATAAGATACAAGCGGAGAGAGGCGATACAAAGAGGTGAGATGACGGTGTAAGGAGGTCACACCGTCACATATTTGTTTTTGGTTGTTAACAACTTTTTTGCCCTTAGCGCTATCTGTGAGAAATCTATTTCTTCACTCAGCCGGGTACCTTTACCGCTATCAGCAGCTGCTGGAGATGTCGCTTTAATAATTGTGATTTTTAAGTTATTGAATGTAGTGTTGTGACCATCTGACCTCGTAACGAAAAAAGGCACAACTATGCGTACTTTATACAGCAGTTGCGCCTTTATTCGTTCTGAGGGCAGATGTGAACTCCTTACATCGTCATCGAGTATCCAGCTTAACAGTTGAACTTGCTACCTCAGTCACCAACACCAAGAGCTCCTTGTAAAAGAGTTCGTTCAGGGAAGTACTGCCACCTTACCTATTTCTGCCGTCAAGCAGTAATATTAGTATTACTGTGTTCCGATTTTGAAGGGTAAGGGTGCTGGTGAAATTACAGGCACATGGGATTTGTGAACTTATGTCTCAGGATGGCGGGCGCAGTGGCAGTGCCCCTCAGATCTTTGCGATTTAAAGCTCTGAGTGACACTGCAACTGTTATGGACAGGCGTGTAGCTTACCATCAGGCGCACGATTTGATCGTCCCATCACTTGATATTATAAAAAAAACATAGTGTAAATGTGCTTATGTAATTTGTAATAGTATTATAAATAAATTAATCTTAAATATTAAATGACGATCAAACATTTGTTTCTGATCTACAAATTTACGTCAAAATGTATTTACATACGCGTATGTAATCGTACAGACCGTCAGTACCTAGGTAAAGTCTCATCACATCTGTCAAACTTTGGATTTTGAACCTTCAAAGTGTCAAGCTTTACATACTATTCACCCTGTATTTTTGTTTTTCTTACCACTTCGAAGTTGTTCAACGTAGACAGGTTGTGCGTAGTTCACGATGCTCCCCTGGAATAATGATATTTTCTAAGTAGGTAGGTCCTTTGACATTAACCACTAACTGTTAACATTTAACCAGAAATGGGATCACTTTCTTGAACCCTAAATCGTGTATTATATTTTACACAGAAAAATTCCTTCGATCGGTTACCGAACCTTCATAGATTTCTTACAGATGGAGCGACGGCAAAAAGTCATTAAAATAAAAACGAGGGTCTGCAATAAGCAAATAGAAAAAATCGTAAGGTGTAGTGGTACGTTCCGTAGCTGTATGCTGTGTGTGCGTGTGTGTGTGCGTGCGTGCGTGTGTGCGTGTTTGCGTGCTTGCGTGCGTGGCGTTGGTTCGAATCCCGCCGGATCAAAGGAATTTCTCTTGTGTCTGATCTTTGTATCAATGAATTATAACAAAGCAGTGGAGTTATTTCACTAAAAAATAACTTAATATCATGGAATAGGAAAACCTCGTGATATTCAATAAATCAATATTACGTAAGTCGTTGATTTCGGGGTTTCAAATTACATAAACGCTGTTCGGAGCAAACAAAATGATTTAATTTAATACATAAGCGTAATCAACTGTCGAAGACTTTATTGATTGTGTAATAAGGTTTAAGTGAATTATAATTATTTTTTATTATCAGTACAAAATTAAAATTTTTCCGCAACGTCCAGTTCACCGGCGATGGAAAAAACTTACCTGGACTAAACCCAGGGCGCACAAAAATCCAATAATGTACACTGCCGCCATCTTTATCGCTCTGCATAGAAGTGAGATCCCTTAATTAACCTAATCAGATAAAAATGCTTTATCATTGAACGAACGATAGAAGTAAATTATCGGTATCGGGAATTAAAATAAAGATAAGAAACAGAGTCCTTGGTTTTTCCCTAAGGGAATTATCAAACTAAGCAACACGCCATCGCATTAACTCAGTCAAAAAAGCTTTGTCCCTGTGATAAGGGCACCGAATACTTAATAGGTATAGTTACTACGTAACAGATACATCACTCTCATAGAAAATCGAAAATACATTAGGCGTTCACTACGAGGAAAAAGGAACCTAAGCATGTCCACCGAGAGATGAAAATAACGTTGCTCGCCGTGTGCAGTCGTGCGGAGCCGATTGCTCATAAATAAAAAACCTTGAGCGAGTTACGGAGCCCAAGGGCTAAAAAGACGCTTTGTGTTTCGCATTAGCTCGTACGACGAAGTCGGCTCGGCTTTCGGCAAATTTATGATCGCGTCAGTATTCAGCAGACGACGCCTGATCGGCGGCTTCAACGCCCGAACGGCCGCATAGACGCCTGAACGAAAGCGCTAGAGCCCGAATGGCCGTGTCAACGCCCGAATGACTTCGAGGTACGAATGCCATATTTCATATGCCCGCGATCCAAGCCGTCGACGACAAATCTGCTTAACGCGACTATTGTAGTATGGCAATGCTGGGTTAACGAGTCTTTCGTGGGTTGTTCGCTTGCTTGCGTTGACTGGGTACACGGCGTAGAAATCTACCTTGCGTGCGTTCACAAGTCTTCCGCTTTGCGTTGCGGAGAGACTTGCGCGCATAAGCGGCGACTTGCCTTTGTTTTGGTTGTAGTGGATGCGTGCATCTTCTGCTGCTGTGATTGGCCAGTGGTGCTGTCCTGCGCAAACGTTCCCTGTTGCTTGCGTGGTAATATCAAGATTGCTAGATATCAAACGTAAAGCAAGCGGCCGGCGTTAGCGAGCGACTCGTGAACAGTCCTGCCTGCGCGTACGCGACAGATCTTTGCGTATGTGCGAAGCGAGTTACGCAACCAAGCGAAAAACGCAAGTGAAGGGCTCGTGAACACGGCTTAAAACAAGCCGATTCGGGGGGTCAAGTTCTCCGTCCGAAACAATTACAGTCAAATAAGGCTCAATTTGTATTGCGGCGGAACGGACTGGAAGCGAATTTTTGTAACGATATTGTATAACGAACTTTAACTTTCCGCGAGAATTACGCGGAAGATTTTGACTCGTATCTATTAACTGCCTCTGTGGCCGAGCGGCTTCCATGCCGGACTGCCACGCAGAGAAATATTTATATGGCGTACATTTATTTCTCTCGTGAGTTTGGGTGTAATTTGTGGTTGTCTATGTGAGTGTCCATGGCACCCGCGACACAGGGTTTCCCTAGTGCGGTGCTATGTTGAGTGTGTGCGTTATTGTTATTACAATATCGTTCCAAAAATTCGCTTCCATTCCGTTCCGCCGCAAAATAAATTGAGCGTGATTGTTTCGGACGGATGTCGGGCGGAGAACGAAAAAAAAAAAACAAAAAATGTTCACAAATATAATTAACATTTATTTAAGTACTAAGTACAATTATAAAAGTATATATTTAGGTACTAATATATCACAACTGATTTTGCCTATCTAAAATTTCTTCTTATTTATATGACACTAAATTCCATGTAACTACAATGTACGGAACAATTAATATATTCTGGTAACAATTCATTCATTTACAACAATAAGTACTTATCTAAATAAATATAGGATCTGTTCATGCCTCAATAAACTCAAAACTGGAGTTTTTTGAAGTAGATTTTTTTCCTGTACTTCATGAGATCCTTGTTACCATCACGATTTATGATGAATAATATTCGAAGAATACAAATTCAGTATACGTAATTCCATGTGCTGGGTGATCAGTAAATTACGATGACATTTAATCAAACCAATAGTGGTTTTAAGTGACATACACCGTCCTGCATGTTGACTGGCAAAAATAGAGGAAATTTAAGTCTTAAAAAGTATTTTAAAAAATCGTTCCTGTTTGTATTGTGTATATAGTAGATGAAGTACCGTTGAAAGTCTAGTGCAATAGAAATTAATATAAATTAAATATGGAGCAACTTCTTGTTTTACAGCTATTTTGGCCGTGTTATTTGAAATTAAATTAATAGACGCTGGCTGAAAAAGAAACGAATTTCTGTGAATACAATCACTATACGATTTTAAGTAAGTTTCAGTCAGTCATCATGCTGGATAGTGAATTTTCGCTTGAGAATATTTCATTTGATTGAGTGTTGAAAAAAAAACCTATCCATAATAAGGATATTTAACACAAAATACAGTAACGAATAAGTAGTTTTAATTTGACTTAAACTTCTACAGAGCTCTAAAAATGGAACGATTTACAAAAGAATATACTATGTACAATGTTCCACAAAGAATTATTAATAAATTACATAGTTAAATATGATTTAAGTAATAACAATTGAAAAATATATTATTTAATGTACTAGTTTATTCACTGCTGAATGCATTAAGAAATATGTAGATAAACAAATTTCTATTACCATCATCGTGACATGACATTTGCAACTTCGAAATAGCCTGTTGATTAACGTATGGCTTATTGGTACAACCGCACGACAAGTTGACATATCCGACTTGATGTAAAAGTTGGTACGTCACGCAGGATCATCAAAAGGAACTTTATATAGCTCTGAACAACACACTTAAATTAAGTAGGTAAAAGGTATAAAACATCTTCAATTTCTTTAGGAATCTTGTATCTACGTAATTATTTACGTAAGTCACTGGTAATTAAGATGTTTAAGTAAACATAGTTTTGTTCCATCAAGTTATACGGTAAGTAACGTAGGTTTTTGTCTCTAATAGACGTTGTTAAAAACATTTGCATATCATTTGTTACAAATCATTCCTAATATTTTCATACATAATTAATGCTATTCTAGAGGTGAAGTTTAATCAATTTGAACTCATATGAGCTATAAAAATTTTGAATTTAGTGTTCCATTACAAAAAAAAACAACACTTTCTTGTTATCCCACATTCCCATTATTTCATATTGACTTTGAATAGTATGTCGCGTATAGACTTCCCTCGTACAGGTATTAATGCGCAATGGGCACAACAGTAAATACTGCGGATTGTGTTGGGGCACCGCAGTCACATTAATAAAAACTCGGTAAACACACTGCGCGAATAGTCGTTTGTGTGAAGAGTAAAAAAAATACTTTACAAGTGCAAAAAGTTTCACATCACAGCATTTTTCTATTTGTACTAATCACTAAAATCTGTGTTCATAAATTTTCACCCTATATAATTTGTTACTTTGTTTGTTCTCCACCACTACGTGGAAACAGTTATTGCTAACTGATTATCTTTGCGTCTCCTTGTTTCTAATATCTTGTAGTAGACGACAGCGTCGTGCACAGTCGGGAACGTGTCCAGCTGTAATCTGTCCGAAGCTTGGTTGTTGTACTTTTCTATCATTTCCAGGACAGGCGCTGAGGAGGACAACAATATAATATAACTCATATACCATGAGCAAAACAGGAAGAATGCTATTTTAATTTATGTGAAGTTAACTGTTTTTTTTCCTTCTTCTTATTAGTTTAGAGACAGAGCAGACAGTGAGACAGCGTAAGTGTAACTGAGAATATTGTCTGGTTTATATATATTTTTTAATAATATTATTATTGTTCATTACATGTAAATTAGTCGTACATAGTCATACCATTTTTTTAATGAATCTATTAAATGTTATTAATATACTCAACCGATATAATTATTAGTATTCGATGTTTATCGTTGAATTGGATTATGTTGAAAAACGATGTGGCAACAAGGTCAGGCTGAAAATCAGTACCGCGAGGCATACAGCCAGAAGGATTATACTGAGCCTGTTCCTTCCACGCACTGTTGTTGTTCCCACAATATTGTTATGTCATTTTGTTCTGTACGTATTACTGTGTGTGGTAAATAAATGGTTTAAATGGTACTTGGTGCAACGGGCTGGTGTCCGCAACTCGACGACAAAGCGCCTATTTTGCGTGTGGAATATAATTAACCGACTTCAAAAAAGGAGGAGGTTCTCAATTCGACTGTATGTTTTTGTTTGTATGTATGTTACGCGATAACTCCGGTATTTGTGAACCGATTTTCATGATTATTTTCTTGTTGGAAGGGGGTACTTCCATAGTGGTACCATTTCATTTTGAAGAAAATCATCCACCTCTAAGGGGCTGATCACGCATGAACATTCATTTTTATAAATAGCGCCTAAATTTTACTTAAAGAGCAATTATTTTAATGGTTTTAATAGTAGTGAGAACCGATTTTTATTATCTCCAGTGTCAAGTCCTGTATAGTGGCGAATTTAAGGATATTTCAATAAAACTTAGCAAATACACGTAATTCCACGTACTTTTGAGGTCGGTTTTTTTAGTACTCTGTACTGAGATTATTAACTGCGTCATTGGCTGGTGCTGGTCTGCTACGCAGAGGTCCCAAGTTCGATTCCCGGGCCGGGAGAAATTTTTAGTATGGTCTACATTTATTTCTCTTGTGAGTTTGGGTGTTTTTGATTGATATGTATGATCAAATAGATTCCATAATAGATGCGACTAAAGAAAAAGATAACTTGATAATAATGGGAGATTTTAATGCTGTTGTAGGGGAGGGTAAAGTAGAGAATATTGTTGGAGAGTTTGGTTTGGGAAAAAGAAATAAGAGAGGTGAAAGGTTAATTCAATTTTGCAGAGAACATAATTTGTCAGTTTTAAATACCCAGTTCAAAAATCCAAAAAGAAGACTTTATACGTGGAAAATGCCCGGAGATATAGCATTCTATGGATTGATTGGTCTGAAAATAAAGGATTTTTATTTTATTTTTATTTTATTTTTATTATTATTATAGCAAGATACCAAATAGATTTCATACTCGTTAGACAAAAATTTAGATATCAAGTGAAAAATTGTAAAGCTCTCCCTGGGGCAGACATGAATACTGACCATAACCTTTTAGTTACCATACTTAATTTACACGCAAAAAAGTGTAATAGAAAAACTAAAACCAAAGAAATTGATCTCACTAGATTAAAGGAACACAATTATAACGTGCAATATCATAATAAAGTAGGAAATAAATTAGTTAAGTTCAAAGAGTGCAATAATTTAGATGATATGGACGTTGAGGATAGATGGAAAAACGCAAGAGATATTATGAGGACAAGTGCAGAAGAAATATTAAAGAAAGCAAAAATAGTGCCAAGAAAGACGTGGCTAGACAAAGAAACCAGTGATCTAATTCTAAAAAGAAGACAGTACAAAAACAAATCGGATTCAAAAAGTAGGGAGGAGTACAGACGACTGACGAATAAAATAACTAACTACTGTAGAAATAGTAAAATGAGAGAGATTGAGAACAACTGCAAGGAAATAGAATACTATTTACGAAAGGGGAATATAGATAAAGCCTATAGTAAAATAAAAAGCATGAATAAAAATAACAGAACCCGAAGTACAACCATTCTAAGTGAAGACGGAACAATTATATTGGACAGTGGGGAATCGCAAACAGGTGGAAGAGATACATAGAGGAACTATACGAGGGGGAGGAATTGGTTGATAGTGATCTGGAAGATGAAGGGTGTGTTGGTGAGGACGAGCTTGGGCCGGAAATAATTAGAGATGAATTTGATTTGGCGGTGAGGAACATTAAAAATGGTAAAGCAGCGGGTTATGACCGCATCTTCATAGAACTCATAAAGAAAGCACCGGATCAAATGATAGACGAGATTTTCGAAATAATTACAAAAATTTACCGGTCAGGAAAAGTGCCTTTGGATTTTTGTGTCAGTAAAACAATAGCAATACCCAAGAAACATAACACTCGTAAATGTGAAGAACATAGAACCATCAGTTTGATCTCACAAGCATCAAAAATAATTTTGAAAATCATCCAAAATAGAATTAGACCAAAGGTTGAATCATTCATTGGAAACGACCAATACGGCTTCAGACAGGGCAAGGGTACCAGAGAGGCAATCTTGGCATTGAGGCAGATAGTAGACAGAAGGTTGGATGTGAATTTAGAGACCTATTTAGCCTTTATTGATTTAGAAAAAGCTTTTGATAGGGTGAATTGGGGGATGATGATGGAAGTGCTGAGAAGGGCCGGGATTGACTACAGGGATAGAAGAATTGTTTTTGAGCTATATAAAAAGCAAGAAACCATCATAGAAATAGAAGAAGAAAGTAGAAAAGCAAGAATCAAACAGGGAGTACGACAGGGTTGTTCACTTTCGCCACTAATTTTCAACATTTTTATCGAAAGCGCAATACGAAAGATTTTAGAAACATCTACAGAAGGAATAAAAGTTAATGGGGACAGAGTGGTTTTTATTAGATTTGCCGATGATATCGCTGTAGTTACGGAGAGCAGAGAACAGCTGAAAGCCCTTCTCAATAGAATGAATCAGATTTTTACGGAATTCCGTTTGACAATTAATAAAAGTAAGACCAAAATATTGGTTGTCTCAAAACAACCTATCAGAGTTAACCCTATTCGTATAAATGATACTCCAGTGGAGCAGGTTCCGCATTTCAAATACCTTGGTAGCATTATTACAGAGGACTCTAAATGTACCACAGACATAAGGACCAGAGTTGCAATGGCGAAGCAGGCATTCCATAATAAAAGAAACATTCTCACATCAGGAATACCGTTGGATCTGAAAAAAAGATTTGTGAAAGCCTATGTCTGGAGCACTGCACTCTATGGATGTGAGACCTGGACCATCACAAAGAGAGACAGAGAGCGATTGGAGGCATTTGAAATGTGGTGCTGGAGACGTATGGAGAGGATAAGCTGGACCGAGAGAGTGACTAATGAGGACGTTCTGGAGAGGATTGGGGAACGGAGAGGCCTGACGGAGACGATAGAGAATAGGAGGGGAAAAATGTTTGGACATTTGTTGCGCAACGACGAACTATTGACGGTTGTTGTTGAGGGAAAGATGGAAGGAAGGAGACAGAGAGGAAGACCGAGAATGGCATTCTGTGACCAAATAAAAAGAAAGGTTAATGTGAGCAGTTACAGGGAGGTCAAGGAGTTGGCTATGGACCGTGAGGAGTGGAGGAGGCTACACCGACAAGAGCATGGCTCTTAAATAAAATGATGAATGAGTTTGGGTGTAATTTGTGGTTGTCTATGTGTGTGTCAATGGCACCGGCTAATAAAGGGATTCCCTAGTAAAAAAGTTACGAGAAAGGTCACCCTTCGCCCCTCCCTGGCTCTAAATACAACACTGCGCTCTTTATATTGACGGCCACATTGACGGAATGGCAACAAGACAGTCGGCGAGGCGTTCGCTAGGAACAGCTTTGATATTTTAATAGTTTTAATTTATTGTCACGAAATGCTTTTATCCTTTTTCTATCATTTAATTGAAACGTTACTATTTATGATGGTCGTGAATTAATATAACAATATATGACATTTTGAGAGCTTTTAAATTATTTTTTTTTCAATCAATTTTAATATTATTTCTGTTAATGAATTAATAAAAAATATACCTTCATCTTTATACATAGGTATATGCAATACCAACTAGTTCAAATTATATTCTCGTATTAGGATTCTATTAATAGAGTTATAAAAACAGTTTCGCGTTACGTGCACCTACGTACGAGAAAGTAGTATATGGAGTGTTCGGCGTTATTATTATTAAAAATGTTATTTCTACATGTGGCTGCCTTTATACACTAAACAGAGTGTTGCAGAGTACTATAATAAGATTATTTAACGCTGCTCGCAATTCTTCGGCTTTGCAATCTAGAGAAACTCACCGTTAGCGCCAGCAAGTAAAACGATGATGTCGTTGGAGGTAAGCTCGTTGTGAATGGTGACCAGCATCTTAATGCCCGGCGCGTCCACGTACGACAGCGCCGTTGCATCTATAATTATGCATTTCACCTGAAAAAAATAATAGTAACTATTAAGGGACACTAATAAGTGTGAAATGAGTCTTTTCTCCAGAGAACAATAAATACAGTACAAGGGGTTAGTTTTTTTTTCTTCATTCCATAAAGGAAAAGGCAAAGGTTTTACACCATACAGCCGAGTCTTGGTACATTATTCTTTTTTGGTACATGAAGTTGCATTATGTTTCTGTAAATATGGCAGCCACAAAGAGGATAGGCAATTTGAGGCGGCGCGCTTGGATTGACCGGGATTCCTCAGAACGGGCCGATACGGGTATTTTAGTTCGAGATTCGTATACGTTTTAATCTTCGATTAAGGCACAATAGCACTATTCTATTCCACTTTAAACTAGATTTCACAAAATAATTGAAAGTCAAAATAAAAACGACACTTTTCCCTCCAAAAGGTCCAGAGCGAATCCTCACACAAGGGGTTAGTTAGCGTCAGACACTTGACTTGAGCTCGTCAAATTCTCTAAAATCACCGAAAAATTACTTATTGTGCTGTTTTGGAGTGCCAAATTGATAGCCGCACCAAAAATGTTACCCGTGGTGGTATTTCATATCATCAGTAAATATTATTTTAATAAATTTTCAATCTGTTTATAGAATTGATTCAGATGTTAATCGTTCGTCGTAGATCAGCTACTGGCCGCAAGATGGCAGCACGTCGAATAAAATTTCAATATATAACCAAAACGCCGTAACTTGCAATAAAGGTAATAAACTTTCAACTATATAGCGACTTGGTGAAGTTTAAATTATATTAACAATCCAGAAATTGTTAGTTATATCTTTAGAAACTATGACCAATCATTATCAAGATTTTTTTTGTAGTGTTTATCATGCGTTTTGATGACAGCGGTTCCGACTTCCATTGTTTTTTTTTCTTCCGTGGTTTTCTCTATATCGGCTTCTTCTCGGCTCGGCTACCATTAAGGCCATCTGCATCTTAGACACAGCTGTACGGAAGAAGGATCTTGCGCTCAGGTTGAACCAAGTCCGGAGATTCTTAAGCCACGAAGTACGCCTTTTTCCAGGTGGTTGTTTTCCCTGTATCTTTCCTTGCATAATTAGTGGGAGTAGGTCGTATTTATCATTACGCATTACATGACCAAAGTTCTGTAGCTTTCGTTTTTTAATTGTGGATATATGGACGTGACCCCGAATAAACGAGCAAAAGTCTTTACACATTTCGTTTTATCAGACTATAAAGTTTTATTATCAATTACAAACCTTCTACATTTTTTCATGCAAAAAAACATCTTTTTTTGTACCATACCAAGTGACGGGTCAAAGAAGTCGTGCGCCTGGTGGTCTCTAATAGTTACAGTGTTACTCAAAGCTTTAAATCACAAAGCTCTGAGGGGTAACGTGCTGCCACGTTCCATATGCCTGTAATTTCATCAGCACCCCTATCCTTCGAAACAGGAACGCAGCAATGCTCACATTGACGGCAGAAATAGGTAAGGTGGCAGTACTTCCCTGGATAAACTCTTTCACAAGGAGCACTGCTACTATCAAGTTGACAAGTCCCATGTGCCTGTAATTTACTTTACGCAACTCCTTCCGTGGCCGAACGGTTATCAGGCTGGACTGCCACGCAGAGGTCTCGGGTTCGTTTCTCGGGCCAGGGTGAAATATTTGTATGGCCTACATTTATTTATCTCGTGAGTTTGGATGCAATTTGTGCTTGTCTATGTGTGTGTCCATGGCACCCGCGATACAGGGTTTCCCTAGTGCGGGGCTATGAGTGTGTACGTTATTATTACTATTTAGTTAAGCACAAGTTTCATCAAAACATCTATTTTAATGTAACTCAAATGTTTTTTTCTAGAGTAGTAAAATAAGGCATTTTTCGAGGTGTTGCGAGATAATTCACATGACCATAATGTTCAAAAACGAAAATGGCGGAATAAGCTTAATGTGGAACTTTGCGTACTGTTGGCACACGTGCGATGCAAACTAAGCACTTCTACTGTATTTATTGGTTTGTGTCTTAAACTGTCAAACAAATAAAACTAAATCATACCCGATTAGCGACAGTAGGATCCCACTCGTAGGAGTCGGTCTTAGTGATGTTATTGTCCACATCGTGGAGCTGCGAGGTCTCTGTGGCCGGCTTCATGTATCCAGTCTTGCGGAAGATTGTTGTCCGAAATAGGTTCTTTGTCGCGAAGTTCAGACCGCCGCAGTAGTGGAAGATTTTTATTCCCGGGATCTCTTCTGCCTGTCAAAGATGAAAATCTTAAATGTTATAACATTAAAAAAAATCTAAGACGATCCCTATGACTGTTCATAAAAATCTACACGCTATAACCTTGTAACGTCGTGCACTAATTAACGTATTTCATAAACTACTTTTACAAGCTTCGCTTTTAAATACGCAGTCTTTGTTTAGGTACTCGTAAATACATTATTAAATTAAAGTCAACATTACAAATGGATGTAAAAATTACACCAAATCAGGCCAGATTATGGACCATCTTTGAAGAAAAGTTTTGAAAACTTTGACCAAAAAGTTTTGAGATCGGTTATAAAAAAAGTTACAATTGTTTTGGCACAACGTGAACAACTGCCTCCGTGGCCGAACGGTTACCATCTGCCACGCAGAGGTCCCAGGTTCGATTCCCGGGCCGGGAGAAATATTTGTGTGGCCTATATTTATTTCTCTCGTGAGTTTGGGTGTAATTTGTGGTTGTCCATGACACGCGTGACACAGGGTTTCCGTAGTGCGGGGCTATGCTGAGTGTATGCGTTATTATTATTATTAACTCTACGATCAAGAAGAATCTATTTTGTTAGATCTTTTACGGCGACTGTTTTTAATAAAACTTATTTTCGTGTGAGAAATTTGATATCAAGTTTTTTGTTTGATAGTATGTTTTGTCTTGTCAAAGTTGTCAAATTTGATATTAAATCCAAAACTATTCTCGGATTAACCATAAAATGTAAAATTTAACAGAATTGAACCAATTTACCATGATTAAGGTTAATCCAATTCCATACAACGATACAAAGTTGCAAAACATATATAAGTTATGTATTAACCAGGAAATAAACCAGTAAACAAAGAGAATGTGGCTATCAACGTTCCGCGGGTGTTATTGCAATTCGTTGCCGAAAATAACTTTTATATCAAACAAGACGTACCCCTATTCCTGCAACTACAAGATCGGTATTTTAGACAGGATGAAATGGACAGGCTTCTCGATCATGTTCGCCCTGTTCATGTGCGCAGTGCAGTTCGTCATGGTCGCTTTGTACAATGACTTTGAATTGGATTACTTAAGCCGGGGTATGTTGAAATCAGAATCGATATGATTTGTTATCGAGTTTAAATAAAAATGGTACAATTGTTTGTTTTTAAATTTTTATTGAATTGTTATCATTGACTTACAAATAAATGGACGACGGGTCTAATACACAAACCACGAAAAAAATTTCCCAAGTCAACCTATTTAAACGTAGTGACATGTCAAGGAATATGAAAAGGCTAAAACGTTGAATTTAAATTGTAATGTCATCGCAGTACTGTCTAATTTTGCTTGCTTCGCTGTCAGTCGAACAAACGAAGACTAAAGCGTGAATGACGCTCTGTATACGATTTTAACGCCCTATAAGTTCGGATACTTTTTAGCGCGGACCCGACGTCCATATAATTGTAAGTCAATGATTGTTATTAAATTATTTTTCATGTGAAATTACTCCACCAGTTTGTTACATACATACATATACTTCACGCCTTTTTCCCATCGGGGTAGGCAGAGACAACAGTCTTCCACTTGCTACGGTCCTGACACACACCTTTCGCCTCATCAACACGCATCAATGCTTTCATACACGCTCGTCGGTTAAGGGTACTCTTGACCTGGCCCTTCTTTAGGATGGCCTCAATTTGGTCATGATAAGTTCTCCTTGGTCGGCCCATACCAACTTGCCCGCTCACACTCGCCTTATAAATCTGTTTCGTCACTCTTCTTTCATTCATTCTCTCTACATGTCCGAACCATCTAAGCATCCCTTTCTCTATCTTTGTCACTATATCTTCTTCCACGCCGCAACGCTCTCTTATCACACTGTTCCGTAATTTATCCATCCGAGTCACTCCAGCCATACTCCTCAAAGCTCTCATTTCTACTGCATTAATTCTACTTTCATGCCTCTTCTGCCAAACCCAACATTCACTACCATACATAAGTATAGGAACTAGCACCCCTACTAATTGGTTATAATTATTAATACAAAGATCGAACACTCTTTCTTTATTATATCAAGTTACGGGACGAGCAAGTCGTGCGCCTGATGCTAAGCTGTCTATAACATAAGTTGACAAGTCCCATGTGTAATTTCACCTACAAGTATGGTATTAGGACATTAAAAACACAATAGAAAGTATTTATTGAGGATCCCGAAAACTAAATGAAGACCTGGCTCAATGGACTTGTATCCAAGTAAAAAATCCTAATAAAACAAATTAAACTACCGTGAGACTCGGATTTTTTTTAACGGACACACTCAACACACATAGACAACCACAAGTTACACCCAAACTCAAGAGAGGAATAAATGTAGGCAATACAAATATTTTTCCCGGTCCGAGAATCGAACCTGGGATCGCGCCACGGAGGCAGTTGATATTAAACGATAACTCACATATTTAAGTGGTAGTTTTGTTCGAAATTTTTTGAACTAGTTCGTGATCGTGAATATGACCTTCCGCGGCGGTGACTTGACGAAACGAGAAGACTCGCCCATCGCTAATATACTTAACCCGATTAACTCGAGTTAATCCCACGAGTCAATAGTACTTCATTCATACAGCGCATCAGCTGCTCGTTCTCGCTCGGTCAGTTCGGCGGTTCGGCCCAACTCGGTGAACCTTCGGCTCGAGTTCATATGATTGCTCTGTCAGACTCTGAGTCGAATCAACTCGAGTAACTAGAGTTGAAGAAATCAACCTCTGAAGTTCGTGGAATTGCATATATTTGCCAAGTTTTATTGAATCTGTTACAGGAAAGTGCGTGAAACCGGATTCATCCCCTATTTACCACCCTTAGAGGTGGAATATTTTCTTGAAATGGTCATGGGACCCGCTCCTGAGGTACCCTCTTTCCAATAAAAAAAGAATCATCAAAATTGGTTCATCGAGTTATCGCGTAACATGCATACAAAAAAAACAGAGGAATTGAGAACTCCTCCTTTTTTAAAGTTGGTTATTATATTTTTTTTATAATACTAAGTGACGGGACGAACAATTCGTGCGCCTGGTGGTAAGCGTCACGCCTATCCCTAACAGTTGCAGTGTCACTCAGACCTTTAAATAACAAAGATCTGAGAGGCACAGCCAGTGCGCCCGACCCCCTGAGACATAAGTTGACAAGTCCCATGTGTTTGTAATTTCACCAAAAGAAATTATATAATAACTTCTTATAAAAAAAAATATAAAAAAAGAAATTATATAAAAAAATATATATAATAACTTCTTAGCGTTTGTAATTCTATGGGCAGAATTGTAATAATTGTAAAAATGACAAGATATTTACAGCTCTGTACCGCTTGACATCCAGGTAGAGATCGGTATTAAGCATCCTGCCCAGTAGGCACGTGTATGGCTTTTGAGAACGGATGAAAAGTGCGCCCACGCTTGCCAGCAGGCCGGCCAACAGGCTGTGAACAAGGACAAACGATCTATATCTTTAGTACGTTAATGCAGAGGCCTGGAAGCGAGGCCTTGTATTAATTTATTTTTAAATAATACCAAGTGACGGGACGAAGAAGTCGTGCGTCTGGTGGTAAGCGACACGCCTATCCATTGCAACAGTTGCAATGACACCTAGAGCTTTTAATTGCAAAAATCTTAGGGGCACCGCTGCTATGCCCCAACCTACGACATAAATTGACAAGTCCCATGTGCCTATACTTTCACCAGCACCATTACGCTTCCAAACCGGAACGCAGTTATGTTTACGTTACTGCTTGGCGGCAGACTTGGTAAGGTGGCAGTACTTCCCTGGATGAACTCTTTCACAAGTCTTAAAACGAGTCAAGCAAACCCCGCCGAGGCATATAATAATGCTTTTCTCAAACAATGTGAGGAAATAACAGGAGACTAAAGAAGACGTGTAATAGAAAAAGTAAAATATTACGCGTCAGAACAAATTGCTAAAAGAAAATGTCGTTTTCCAAGCACATTAATAGTAGTCTCTTGAATTTTTGGTGATGTGGTTGAATGTGTATGCATTACACATTCAATCACAGCCACATCAGTATCGGTAAAATAAACAAAGTGCTTTGGTATACTTTTTTAACATTACATATGCTGCTCTGAATCTAAAGTAAATAGCTAAAGCAAATTATGTTGTGGATATAACGCGAGACAATATAGAAAAGTTACTTTTTCTACATTGACCGGGCCGGGGATCGAATCCCGGACGGTAGAGATGGTGACATCATGAAAACCGGTGTTCAAGCCATTCGACCGCGGAGGTCGTCAAAGTAGCAAATATAATTTATTTCCATCTTTGTTAACATGGGTGAATTTATAACTATTTGAAAACGTAGTATATGTCACTTTCCGGTCAGAAGGAGTGACAACCTGCGAATCGCTGGCAGGAAATGGATGCGACAAGATGAGGACAGGGCAAAATGGCGCATATTGGGGGAGGTCTCCAGGAGGTGTCCAGCAGTGGACCTCAATAGGCCGATGATGATGATAACTAGAGATAATAGTAAATAACGCACACATTCACAGCTCCGTAATAGGGAAAACCTGTATCGCGGGTAACACGAACACACACATAGACAACAAAAATTACACTCAAACTCACGAGAGAAATAAATGTAGGCCATATCAATATTTCTCCTGACCCGGGAATCGAACCCGGGACCTCTGCGTGGCAGACCAGCATGGTAATCATTCGGCCACGGAGGCAGTTAAGTTGAGATAATCTAAGATAATGAAAAAGGTTGTATTACCCGATGTCAATGTTGATAATCACAGTGATGAGGAAAGTTATTAACCACACGAACGCGTCCAACTGGCTCAGTTTCCAAAATCTGTAACAAGTAGGTTAAAAATCATATGTTGTATGTCATTTTTTTAAACACCGGATGCAGTTATTCATATCACAGACCAATCACTCAAGAGGAATTCTAAAGGCAGCGTAGTCGGGTATTTAGTACCTTTTGGTACACCAGATGTCGTGACAGTACCAAATAGGTATTTTTGTAACTAATTTTTTTCACATTGACAAGCTGCAATTTGTCAAAGCTACTCTAATTTCTAGTGTTAACAAACAAATCAACTAGATGGCGCTTATTGCACAGATTTTATGTATAGTGCCGGATAAAAAAGCAAAATTAGCGCCACCTACCCATACTAAGAAGAAGAATAAATAAAAAAAATAAAAAGAAGAAGAAGCGTTAATTTATAAATTAGTTAACAGCAGTAGCAGTAGTAGAACTCCTTGTGAAAGAGTTCATCTAGGTATATACTGCCACCTTACCTACTTCTGCCGCCAAGCAGTATTGTCAGCATTACTGTGTTCCTGTTTTGAAGGGTAAGGGTGCTGGTAAAATTACAGGCACATGGGACTTGTCAATTTATGTCTCAGGGTGACGGGTGCGATGACAGTTACCCTCAGATCTTTCACTGCAACTTTTATGGGCAGGCGTGTCGCTTACCATCAGGCGCATAACTTGTTCGTCCCGTCACTTGATATTATAAAAAAATAACACACAATGCCATCTACTGACACGCATATTTGTCGAAGTTTAGAAAATATTTTAGCTCATGTTCAACATTTGCATAATATTACAAGGAAAAAGAAAGTGACTTCTTTTATTTTATATTATAAAGGAATTCATTGATATCCACTGCAATTTACGTAATATAAATTACGTCCAGGTTAATGTTCAGCGCCATTTAAATATAAGACGGAATTTTGACTTTTTTCCGAGTTGCGATCTTTAAATACGGAGATTAAAAAATAAAATAAATTTTTTTTCAAAGCGAGTCATCGGATGAGAAGCGGGAAAAACTGTTTAGCTAGATCAATTATTTTAGGTATTTAATGTTAAATAACGGTCAATAAAAATATACGATACACCTAAGGATATTTTCTAAAGAATGTGCTAATTTGTTACACGATAGAATGTACTTTACTCGATCATACAAAATCCCGAAAACAAGCTCAAATGAGAGTCTAACAAGAATAAATGTGTAACTGTGAACATTAATACCAAAATTTGAAAATTGCCCAACGGTTTAATGACACGCCGCGTCACCCGCTGCCCCGTCAGTCGCCATCGGGCGCTTGTCAACGTCGGATCTATGTAAATTTCTCCGCCTGTTCTTATTTAATGATATTAATTTTCAGCGCACTTCCCCCTCATATCTCACCGCCTAAAATGTAACCTTTCTAATACCGCACCTTAAGTGAAATTGGCTACCTTAAGGTTTAAGTCCCATTGTTCTTAAAATGATCGGGGATAGATACTCCGTCGGGTGGGACTCCGATCCTGTGAGCCCTGTGTCCTGGAAGCTCGGTGAACTTAGCAGCTATCATGTCGTCATTTAATTCATTCATGCTGCCTCAGTGGCCGAACGGTTACCATGCCGGACTGCCACGCAGAGGTGCCGTTCGATTCCCGTGTGTGTGTGTGTGTGTGTGTGTGTGTGTATGTGTGTGTGCGTGCGTGCGTGCGTGTCTGTGTCTGTGTGTGTGTGTGTGTGTGTGTGTGTGTGTGTGTGTGTTTGTTTGTGTGTATGTGTGTGTGTGTGTGTTTGTGTGTGTGAAATTAATTTTATTTTCTTTATTATTGTACTAACAGTAACTGAATAGGTAGTTTGTAAGTGTACTAACAAAATGGACTTTAAATTGTGCAATAAAAGTTTTTAAAAAACTAATTTTTTTCCAACCCATATATCGTGAAGGGCCATCAGTTTAGACAATCAAGATCGTTTAAACTGCTTGGAATACTTAAACAAAGAGATAACATAGGATAGGATAGAACTAACCTGCGCAGATCAAGGATTTGTACGAACATGCCCTTGAGCGAGACGACGATGATGGAGGCTAGCACGCACCGCGGCAGCTGCTCGAAGAAAGGCCCGATCCACAACAGCACGCAGAGGATCAGCATTGCCGACACTGCCTGCGTCAAGTTCGTCTTCGCGCCGGCCTGGTAATTTGTAGACCTTCTTTTAGTTATAAAATAAAGGTATAATCATAGATTATATCATAATCACATAATTATTTCTCGTTATCTTGTTTTTTGTATCTACTCAACAGTTTTTCTTTATAATATCAAGTGACGAGACGAACAAGTCGTGCGCCTGGTGGTAAGCGACATGTCTATCTATAACAGTTGCAGTGCCATTCAGAGATTTAAATCGCAAAGATCGTATGGGTACTGCCACTGCGCCCGTCACCCTGAGACATAAGTTAACAAGTCCTATGTGCCTGTAATTTCACCAGTTTCTCTACCCTTCAAAACAGGAACACAGCAATGCTGGCATTACTGCTTGGCGGCAGAAATAGGTAAGGTGGCAGTACTTCCCTGGATAAACTCTTTCACAAGGAGCTCTACTAATAAATCCTTTGATATTAGTGTTTTTAACATAATAAACGTCAAGTATGACTTATTATATTTAAAAATATGATTATTGGTGTCTGTTGTGCCCTTTGACTTTGCAATATATTCAATAATTATTGACATATATTTGTACAAAAAAATACGTAGATTGGTCTATTTTCCTGATTCGGAATATGCATTTAACTCAATTTTGGTCTAAATGTTAATTGTGCCCTTTTTCGTTTGGAGGGCAGTGTAGAGTACTTACAGTAGGTAGTGACAAAGATGGAGAAAGTGATTGCTGAAATAGTTTAGGAGATATATATACATATAGAAGGAAATACTGAAAGAGGACGCTACAAAAACATTCTGAGATCAAATCGAGAATATTCTTAAATATATTATCTGTGGCCGTAGCATGGCAGCATATCGATACCAGTAGTATCAATTAACGCAAGGGACATTTTGTCGAAAATGAGTTACATATATCATTGGATTCGGAAGTTCCCGCTCTATCGATTGGTATTATTAAAATTTGGGAGTCTTACGTTTATGGAATGAAAGAAGAGGACATTCTAAGGGTCGTATTCTAGAACTCTACTCAATGCTCAAGTCAGGATTTGAGTATGGTTTAAAGTCATACTCAAGTCCCTGCCATTAGGGTCGTATTTCCAGTGCTTGTGTTTCCATTGCAATCCTGACTTGAGCATCGAGTAGAGTTATAGAAACTTTGCTCTGGACACAACAAAGTTATAGACAGATTTCAAAAAATAAAATCGTTATTTGGCTCTCCGGAAAAATCGTGGTTTGTCCCTTACATTAATTGATACTTTTGGTATCGATATGTGTGATAAACCTCCCCGTGACAAAATTTTTTTCAGTTGATAAAGCTAAGTTTGCTAATTTGGCAATGAACTAGTGTAATATATTTTGAAAAACAAGGACAACGATATGAAATTGCGTATACAGCTATCTTTGTCGTTTAGTCATTGCCACGAAAACGATGAAACAAAGAGTGCCGGGTTTTCGTAGTTTCTGTTTTTACATATTTTACATTGTATTATTTATTATTTACGCATTTCTAATTACTCTCATGTATTGAACTGTATTATTCTCCTCCTCCTCAGCTTTTCTAATAATTTATACATATCAATTTGTTTGTTTTTATTGATTCTTTTCATCTTATTTGTCGCGCTCGATTCTTACGTTGACAAAAGTATCGTGCAGAACTGTCAAAATGTTTTAAAATCAGCTGTGACCTTGCAGTCATTTTTAGCACTGTGTTAATCTTTCGCGATGACATAAAATTGTGACGTCATGGTGTCTCTTGTACTTACCTGATACTGTATGTATGATCTAGACAAGCTAGCGCATATAGGTGCACAGCAGAAAAACGACCCAACCACATTACTAGCACCCTGAAACAATAATATAAAAAAAATATATTCTCATTTTAACCGAAACTCAAATAACCTTTTTTGTAATATAGCACTACGAGTATTTTATTAACGTTTCACAAAAAAATTTAAACTAACAAACTTAACACGTGTGTACTTGGTTGTCGTCACGGGTGCGTCACGTCCGTTTAGTTTGGACGGCATCTATTCCGAATTATCACGCTTTTAGATGTATTCAGTTTTAAGAGAGAATTTGCACTCACCAATGCCAGAAGTTCTTGGTTCCCGCTGATCTCGTACTTCTCTTTGGCAGCGAAAATTAGCGCCATTGACATGGTGATGGTGTACGTCACCATCATGATGGTGAACGCGTCCAGTATTACCAGTGGTACAATCTCGAATTTCGGCAAACTTGGTGTCGGTAGTCTGCAATTCAGTAGAAATATTTTATTTTTATGATACCAAATGGTAAGAGAGACTAGTCGGGCGCCTGGTGTTAAGAGACACGCCATAGAACTTGCAGTGCCACTCAGAGTTTTACATTGACAAGTCCCATGTGCCTGTAATTTCACCAGCACCCTTACCCTTCAAACCGGTACGCAGTAATGTATACTGTATATAGTACACTGCTTGGCGGCAGAAATAGGTAAGGTGGTAGTACTTCCCTGGACGAACTCTCACAAGGAGCTCTACTGCTACTAAAGTAATAATAATAATGATAATAACATGCACACACTCACAGCTCGGCACTAGGGAAACCCTGTGTCGCGAATCACGCGATAATCAATCATTTAGTGAGTAAACGAACTTCACCCATTTTTTGTATTGTGGTAACACTGCTTTGTCTTTGCTAACTTGTTATTTTGACACTATCGAGACGGCAGTAACGTCAACGGCAATGGCGGGAACCGAGTGCACTTCAGTTTGGTTAAAACTAACGATATGGCTGTGTAAGTGAAGGTACCCAAAGAGACAAACAACAGGTAAGTTCCTCTATGTACTGTTTAACATTACGACATGCATAGACACGGTGGAAAGACACACAACTAAGTTAATTGTCGAGTTTAACATTGTAACGATACATGTTCTATGACTATCCATTTGCCACGTGCTGACTCGACCCGCAGTAGAGTAGCGTCTTTGACGCTTATGACTGTGGGTGCCTATCGTTGGAATGAATGGGGTCGGTATTAGCTGGCATGTACGCTTGCGATTAGTAGTTATCGAAACTTAAATCCTGTTGGGCAGTGGTTGGACTAAAGGGGGCGCTGGAGGTCCACTCGGGGCACCTCTCAAGGTGTCACGCCCCAGTACATAGGCGAGATGTGCTAGGGGATTGTACGCGACATACGAGGCACACCTCTACGCTTCCTCGTCATAGCACGATGTTATGGACATTTTCATCATGGTTCAGTGTCTTTCTACCAGCTTATATGCATTAAGTATCTTTTGTCGTCCCTCAATATCTACGGTGAGAATATTTTAACCAGGTACGTAGGTATTACAGTCTAGTCTAAATCCATTAAACTACAAAGAGGCGACACCCTGTATTGCAGATGCCACGGACCGTTGACGACACCCGTCAATTGTTTCAAATTCGGGCTGGCCAATCAGAGCGCAGTTATCACCGTAATGATTTGGCAGAATATTTTTCAAACAAATTAAATGACATTTCGTCTCTATTTCTGGTTATATACTCGATGAGAGAAGGTAACGTAACGTACCCGGTGGGTATATCCCCGACGAGGCTGATCTGGAACCGCTCATGCAGCAGCGCGAACCTCGACACCAGCGTGCCGGTAACGATCGCCAGCAGTTCAATCGGCACTGGGATTCGGCTTCTCTTACTAACCCTCGGCTGTAACCACATAAATATGTTTTTAATAATAAAAAGACAATGCTAGATTCTGTTCCACCACTTATACTGTACGTAATAAACGAATATGTCCTACTTTACTAATGCTTAGTTGTAACTGAGTTTGTTGAATATCAGGATTAGAGATGAAACGGATATCCGGTAACTATCTGGTATCCGGCCTATCCGGCCCATTTTTACTATCCGGCCAATACCGGAAAGTAGAACAATATCCGGCCGGATACCGGATATTTAAAGCTGAGAAAAATTCATAATCAGTACGCCAAATAATGTGATTTATTGATTAAAGATTATCGTATAGGATAAACAGGAACTACAGGATCGTTGACAATATGTTTATTACTTGAAACTGAAAGAACTATGAAGTTAGATAACGTTATCTCTAAATTTAGTACTCAAATTTCAATAAAGGCAAATTATGGTGGATGAGGACCAGTTGTTCTGCATTAAGTGGTAAAAGTTTTTCATAGACGAGACCAGCTTCGGAGGACAGTTTTTTACTATAAACTCTTGCAAACTTTGTTAAATTTTAAGTACTACTTGTTATTGCCAGACGACCAAATGAAAGGATCGCGATCACAATCGATTTGAATTTTGGCTACATATAATAATCAAATACAATGTGTACCTACTATGATGAAACTTGGAAGTAGATTAAACTTTTTTTGGCAAATCTGGTATCAAGGCTTAGAATTAGATCACAAACAAATTAATGAAATCAAATTGAAACAAAATAATAACGGGCGTATCAAGTGCTAGGCTTATACTTATAACAACTACAAGTTTTTATATAGCCAAATAATGTGTAATTGCTTTTTCCTGCTCTACCGCGAGAAATTTGCATTTGGCATAACAAACAACAGCATTAACGTTAAACTTTTGTCGAGTTTGTGATTTTTATACTGTTAACAATTTTGTGTTATGTATTATCGAATAAATATTTTATAAAAATCAAGTGACCACAACAAATCAAATGGTCAATGTGAAAGTGCAGTCATTCACTAATCTATCAGTAACGGCGATGCGCGCTGTAAACTGGTCGTGACATATTTACGGCAGTGGGTCAGATATTCGGCGGCCGGATATCCGGCTATCCGGCCTAGGTGCTCGCTGGATATCCGGGATCCGGCCCAATCACTATCCGTTTCACCACTAGTCAGGATGTTTCACCACCATGATATTTAATTATTTTTTGTGAAATTACTCCACTAGTTTTGTTATAATGATTAATACAAAGATCGAACACTCAGAAAAAAATCCTTCGATGTTAAAAACAAAGATCTGTAACAAACACATAGTTCCGTAGTTCAGTTAGGGAGCGTCAGCCACGGTATGCTGAAGGCGCTGGTTCGAATCCAGCCAGTACGAAGCACTTTTTCTTAGTGTTCGATCTCTGTTTATAATGATAACAATTAGAGTGTAAGTAAAACTGGAGAAATTTGTCAGGATCGTACAAAGCGGCGATACTCTCTGTCTACTCCAATGGTATCCAAAGGCGTGAGTGTACGTACTACCATCATCGAGTATATAACCAGAAATAGAGACGAAATAAGGGTCATACATACCTGGTAACTCATCAGTGACACGTCACTTATAAATATCAACACTCGTTTGCACTGAAATATAGACAGCGCCAACAACTGACCTGTATATACGTCTCCGTATATTCCATAAATACTCTGTGTTTATTGTAATAAAGATAATGTCTCTAACAATAGCGTTCTGTTCCATTCGATGGTGCAGGGAAAGCAGCAAAACATCTAATTACAAAACAAACGGAATCAAATTTCATCGGTAATTAAATATTACATATGTAATTTTGCAACTTTCGTCCATCATAGCAAAACTCAAGTTAACTGGTCGATTTGAAGTAAAACAATTAACTACACCCATTGACGACACCCGTCAATTGTTTCGTATTCGGGCTTGCCAATCGGAGCGCAGTTGTCACCGTAATGATTTGGCAGAATAGTTTTCAAAAAAATGAAATGCCCTTCCGTCTCTATTTCTGGTTATATACTCGATGACTACCATGGACCTATAACTAAGGAAGGCTGCCAATCTACATAACACAGACGGTAAAGTCTGAAAAAAGTCAAATACTTAACACTGAAACACTTCCTGAATAAAAGACTTGCTATTGTCCATATATTCAAAGATGACTTTGTATTCTTCTGATGTTTTGTCCCATAGTACAGGACGCTCTTCGACTAGGGTTATGAATTAATCATCCTCAATGTCGTCTGTCATCTTTGAATATTGAATAACAAATGAGTGCGGCACTGGGGAGCGCACCGTGAGTTTCTACGATATGACGTCTTGCGATGTTGTGTCGTGAATTTTGACATTGCTCGTCGTAGATTTCCACGATGCGACTCGCATTGTGAAACGATGCCGCGTTATAGCACGACGCGACGTCGTATCGTGTTTATGTGTAAGAACCCTAACACGAGTAGATGGCGCTAATCATAAACAAAATAAAAGACACTATACATAAAACTCTGTGCAACGCGCCATCTACACTTCGTTTCAATCCATTTTAATCAAAAACTAAACAGACAAGTCACCATAGAAGTTTCAGTGATGGAATTTTACTGCCAACAAATTAATTAATTAATAGGATGAATCGATTTGTTTAATTGAGTCATACTAGCGGTTCATTACATAACCTATAAAAGCATATTTAAAATTTCCGAAATCTTAATTTTCAATTTCCTCTTTCAAATTACACCGTTCGATAGCGATTGAAATTTTCGATTTACTAATCGATTATAAAAACTTTAATTGAATGAACTGAATGTTTTTTTCCGTACAGCACTATGCAAACATAGACTATTCGTACATCTTTAGGATTCACTCTGGGCCTTTTGGAGGGAAAAGTGTTGTTTTTATTTTGACCTTCAATTATTTTGTGAAATCTAGTTTAAAGTGGAATACGATCGTGCTACTGTGCCTTAATCGAATTAAAACGCGAAATCTTACGAATCTCGAACTAAAATACCCGTATCGGCCCGTTCTAAGGAATCCCGAGTCAATCCAAGCACGCCGCCTCAAATTGCCTATCCTCTTTGTGGCGGCCATATTTACAGAAACATAATTAAACGAAGACATGGCTCAAAGGACTTGTATCCAAGCCAAAATTATTAATAAAAAGAAAATCGTACATCTTTAATTAAAAAATAACCTCATCTTTGGCTAACATTTTTAAAATTCGATTTTACGATGTTATTCAAATGAATATTGTTGGAAAAACCTTAGAGGGTGGAAAAAAATAAAAGAAATAGTCTAAGGGAAAAAGTGATGAGATATCAAGTCAAAATCTACAAAACATAGCACACGTGAAAGTGTTAGTTATTCGATTTATTGAGTGATTGCTTTAGAAACTCAGCCAAAACGTTTTGTTTACATTTCGTTTAAAATGGATGGGAACAGACTACAGTTAATTTGTTTGTTATCACTAGAAATTAGAGTAGCTTTGACAAATTGCAGCTTACCGATGTAAAATTTTTGTGGCTATGAAGGAAAGCGATGGCAAAGTTTTGAATTACCGCCGTAGTATATAAAATTTTATTACTAAGAAGATACTATTTTATCTAGATTTTTATCAAAACGTTAATTATTTGCAAATACTTGTATCAAGATGGCATTGTGTGTTAACTAATTTATAAATTAACGCTTCCTTATATGGGTAGATGGCGTAATTTTGGTTTTATATCCGGCATTATACATAAAAATCCGTGCAAGAAGCGCCATCTAGTTGATTTGTTTGTTATCACTAGAAATTAGGGTAGCTTTGAGATTCGCTCTGGACCTTTTGGAGGGAAAAGTGTCGTTTTTATTTTGACTTTCAATTATTTTGTGAAATCTAGTTTAAAGTGGAATAGAATAGTGCTATTGTGCCTTAATCGAAGATTAAAACGTGAAATTATACGAATCTCAAACTAGAATACCCGTATCAGCCCGTTTTATGGAGTCCCGAGTCAATCCAAGCACGCCGCCTCAAATTGCCTATCCTCTTTGTGGCGGCCATATTTACAGAAACATAATTTAAACTTCATGTTTAGGCTGATGGCTTTGCCAAAGCCTTAATAAATTTAAAGAAAAAAAAGGGTAGCTTTGACAAATTGCAGCTTGTCAATGTAAAAATTAGTTTTACAAAAATAGCTATTTGGTACTCGTTGCGACATCTGGTGTAGAAAGCATTTCTCTTGAGTTACTGATCTATGGTACTACTTACAAAGCTTGCTGCAGGGTTAGTGGTAACTTACCTTGAGTAGTTCGTTGTTGAGCGCGATGACCAGACAGGTGATGAAGGAGATGATTAATGCGGCCCAGTTGAGCTTCGGCAGGTTCTTGCATATTTCAATCACAGTCTGCACGCATATTATTTATTGTTAAATTCCCAGCATAGGTTTGACATATTTTGAGTTACAACATATTGTAATCGCAGTGCGATATATTTAATTGTAATAATTACATGATTATTTAAATTGAGACGAGAGCTATTATATGTATAGGCAGACGGCATTTCAAGAGAGCATAGAGAATGAACGAATGCGAGAGACATTTTTTTTTAAATTTATTGCTGGCCATGGAAACAAAGTCCTTCAGCCGAAAACAAAACTAATTATCAAGGAAAATTATGCTTATTATCTAATTATAAGTAATCACATTAAATGCGAGTGACATTATGTAAGGGGGTTGCCACATTATAACAAGAGGTGGGATCATAGATTTAGTATGGGATATTTTCTTCAAATTTGGATGGGACCATTACTGAGACCTACATAGCAGTAAAAACAACACGATATTCAATAATAATATTATATGTTGCAAAGGTGTCTTCATTTTTTTCCATTTCTTTTTTCATCTCACAAATGGTAATTTAGATATTTAATTTATTCCGCCTTAAGTATTCTCTCTACTCATATTGAGAAGAAACTATTCTTCGAAAAGGCTACCTCAACTCTAAATGCCTGAAACAGTAATAGTACATTGTGTATTAAAGACGGTAAATAAGAAAACAATAACGAGGGACTATTAGAAGCCCGAAGCCGAAGGATGAGTGATAAGTTGAGTTTTGTATTTTCTGACTGTCCTTTATATACACGATGTTTTTTTTCACATTTGCGAGGAAATAAATATAATATAAATATGTTTCACAACACAACAATTATGGATTTGGCATAAAGCGGTTTTTTTTAATTCTTCCGTAGATAATACACTCGACATAATAAAGCCATGGATGGTTTGGAAAAGATGCTAAATTTCATACAGGAAATAATTAAAAAAATTCTTAATAATAAGTATTTAAGTAGTATGTGGCTGAATTGCAATACAGTTTCTATTTAGAGAACATTTTAAGTGAATGTTTTATTCTAATTTCCATTATTAAATAATAATATATTTAATTTAATAAAAATCATATTGTTAAAGTAAAATAATTTGTAAAACAATGTAGCGTAAATTGGAATGTCCTTTGTAAAATTGTAATTAATATTATATTTATAAATAGGATGGTTGATATTAATATAAGACATAATTGGTTGATGACTGGCAAGTGTGATAAAAAGGAATTTGTTGTGTTTTTTTATGATACTAAGCGATGGGATGAACAAGTCGTGCGCCTGATGGTAAACGACACCCTGTCTATAACAGTTGCAGTGCCACTCAGAGCTTTAAATCGCAAAAATCTGAGGTGCACTGCGTCTGCGCCCATCACCCTGAGACATAAGTTGAAAAGTCCCCTGTGCCTGTAATCTCATCAATAACTTACCAGTGGAACTTTAAAGTTTCCCGGAAGCTTAGGTATGGTTAGCCCGAAGAGGTCCTTCAACTGCGACGCGAGGACGTTGAAGGAGGCGGCTGTGGTGAAGCCTGACACCAGCGGCTCAGACAGAAGCGTTGCAACTGCGCCCATCCTGAACACCCACATTAGTAACTGTAATGTATAAAAATACTACATTTCAGTACTAAGTAAGTTAAATAAAACTTGTAAAATGTATACATACACTCTAGAAGTTCTCTAGTTTGAGAACAGGTAATTTGTGTGGTTGTTTGGAACTATATTATTATTATTCTGTATTTTAAAACTTAATTTATTGTTTTTGACGTTTAACAAAAATATGTAACAAATGACATGTTACAAATGACGAAGTACTTTGTTCCCTACTGAAAGACCTTTTATTGCATAATGAATTCTACAGTGTAGAGGAATTTCTTTTAAAGAAATTGTTGAAAAGAAATTTAACTGCCTCCGTGGCCGAACGGTTACTATGACTGCCACGCAGAGGTACCAGGTTCGATTCCCGGGCCGGGAGAAATGTTTGTATGGCCTACATTTATTTCTCTCGTGAGTTTGGGTGTAATTTGTGGTTGTCTATGTGTGTGTCCATGGCACCCGCGACACAGGGTTTCCCTAGTGCGGGGACATGTTGAGTGTGTGCGTTAAAAAAAAATTAATTTAGTATTTTTAAAATATTTAATTTTGATTTGTATTTTTATAGTTCGGATTTTTCTTTATTTTTCTTTTAATTATTTATTTTATATTATTATTGTTTACAATAATGACGACCATGTTATCCCTGGATATTATATTTCGAATTGTACTATTATGAAATTGATAATATGAAATAAATGATTCTATTCTATTCTAACATGGGTGTATGTTTACCCAAATAACATCTTTTAATGTTATTTCGGTTAACATACATATATAACATACACAACAAACAAACATACATATAAAAAAGTCCGTTAAAAATTAAATAAAAAAACATTTTTACAAACATGCTCGGAATTGTTTGCATTACTTTCAAAAAACGAACACGGAAAGATTGTCATTTATGGACCGCGACTTCTTCCCGGCCAAAGCCTGCAATGTAAGTATGAAAATCCATTACTGTCCACTTCTCTAAACTTTTAAATCTACCTAGTAATAATAAAAAATGTAAACAGTGTAAATTTATTTATTTACTTAGAATTCATTTTATATTTTACTACTTATTTTCAAAATTGTTTACCGTTAGATAATTTTTTAGGTTTAAGCATTTTTATAAATGTAAAAGTAACAAATTCACCTTTTAATAATTTTTAATCAACTTCAAAAAAGAAGGAGGTTTTCAATTCGGCTGTATTTTTTTGTATATATATTACGTGTTTACTCACATATATGTGAACAGATTTTGAGGATTCTTTTTTGTTGGAAAGAGGGTACCTCAGTGTTGGTCCCATTTAAATTTGAACGAAATATTCCACCTCTAAGGGTGGCAAACTAGGGGATGAATCCGGTTTCGCGCACTTTCCGGTAACCGATTGCTATAAAACTTTGCAAATACATGTAATTCCACGAGCTTTTGGGTGCAGTTATTTTTAATAAAAACGTCAAAACTAAAATTTTAAATTTAGGGTACAACATTTTTATTCGTGAAACATTGATAGTTTTGAAAGAATGAAATACTTAAGCATTTTTTTAATCCAGACATGGTTTTGCATTCTTAATGTTATTTTTGGCAGTTTGTTGTACAGCTTGGCACCTTCATATTATATATTCAATTATACACTTATTTTTACTTCGCCTTTACTTTCTTTAGATGTAGCTAAAATTACCTGCATATGAGTGTAGTGCAAAATGGTTCTTATCTCACCTGAAGAGCTCCTACGCTAAGACAAACTGCGCTAAGTACTTGTATAGGCTCGTAGAGGGGAGCATGATCTGAAACATTAAAAAGTTTATAATATGACATTTTTTTCAATTTTTTTTCATTATTAGTGCCAGCTTTTATACCTATGGTGCAGGATGTGCGGCATAAGGGTGTAAAAGGGAAAATATAACAACAAATAATCTATTTTCATTTTGTATAACAATATTTGATATAATTTCTAAGGATATAATCACTCACTGTATACAACCAAGAAAACGTATAACAACAAATGGTATAAGTACTACCAGTATATGTGTTATATAATAATACAACACAATATTTCGTTTTACGAATAGTTGAAGCGGCGGTACATGTATTTGTCAAGTTTGATTGAAATCGGTTACCGGGAAGTGCGCGAAACCGGATTCTACCCTTAGTTTGTAATATTTTTTTCAAATTGAAATGGGACCAATACTGAGGTAACCTCTTTTCAACAAAAAAAGAATCATCAAAATCGGTTCACAAATAACGAGAGTTATCGTAAAATTTGCATACAAAAAAATACAGTCGAATTGAGAACCCTTCCTTTTTTAAAAGTCGGTTTAAAAAAATCACTAACCTTCTATTTGTGATGAGTTATTCGATAATGCAGTAACCAAGCCTGTTAAGTTTTGCGGGGCCGGGTGAAACGAATGCTGTAGTACCACCTGGAAGTCAAGATGAAGCCATGTTAGATGTTATATATGTAGATTTTAAGACTTTCGTGGTTATTCACTAATATCAGGTTTATAAATATCGGGAAAATAAAAAGAAGTCATACCGTGGTAAGAAACCTGATATTAGTGATAATCATTTATGTTAGATGTTGTTTATAGCTTTCTTGTAGCAGTAGAGCTTGTGAACGTGTTCGTTCTGGGAAGCACTGCCATCGTTGCGGCCCTATCAATTCTCCTCCATATACTTGGTCACGAGCCTGCCACGAACTGTCTCCCTCGAGTTAAAGAAAGGCAACAGCTCGCCTACATTTTCAATAAGTTTTAAATACATAAACATTCGAATACATAGAAAAATTTCTTCGACCCGATGGGACTTGAACCCATGACCACCTTCATCCTCCATCCTTATGTCGTTGATATACCACGTATTCGCACTAAGCGCTTTGCTTCCTCCTTCCTGATGCGTACGGCAAAGGAATAGAAGGAATGTGTATCCGAAAAGTACAATTTTGTTACTGGGCTATTTTGTTTGCCTTAAAAATGCCTATTCATAGGTTAAAAACCAGACACAAAGATCCGACAAACAAGCACATAGAAAAATTCGTGAAGTCCGCTGGTTCGTTCCGTGGCTTAGTTGGCATAGCGTCTGCATACCACGCTTTGCTAGAAGACGTCGGTTCAAATCCCGCCGGATTGAAGGAATTTTTTCTAAGTGTTCAATCTTTGTATTAATAATTATGACTAACTAGTGGAGTAAATTCACAATAAATATTTGAATATGATGGTGGTGGAACTTCCTGGCATTTAAGAAAACATTTAAAAGTTGTTATAGTCAATTCAACAGGCTTCAATTTTCCGATTACCTTGCCAGCCATAAGGCAGCCGACAGCAAAAGTGCCCATCGAGATGTGTGGTGAGGTGCCGAAGATGACGTAGATCAGTACCGGGAAAAACGCCATGTACAGACCCACTATTGGCTGGACTTCTGCTAGAAGCGCGTACGCCATTCCTGAAAATACAATAACATTGCAAATGAAACTATTTTCTACAAAGTAAAGTGTGTTGTAAACCGTTGTAATACTATTTTATAGTATTTCGGTAAGTTAGTGTTTCTTTCGGAGGTTTAGTATGTAATCTATTTGGAAGTAGGTTAAATTTTTTTTACGTAGCATTATAATTTTAGTAAACTATGTTTGTTTGTTATATATGATAAAGAACAATGGCAAAATCACAGTACAAAGAATTCGTTAGCGTCTTCAAATGTCTTAATTACAAGTTTGAATAAAATAAATTACTCATAGATTTCTCATAGATGGCGCTACGACTAAAAAGTCGTTGAAAGACCAAGTACAAAGACACGACGCAAGCACATAGAAAAATTCGTGAGGTCCGTTGGTTCGTTCCGTGGCTTAATTGGTATAGCCGATAGCGTCTGGCACGGTATGCAACGTCGGTTCGAATCCGACCGGATCGAAGGAATTTTTTCTGAGTGTTCGATCTTTGTATTAGTAGTTATAACAAACTAGTGGAGTAATTTCACAAAAAATAATTGAATATCAATTCAATAAAAATTTAATTAAAATAAATTCATTAGGTTTTTCAAATTGGCCTATCTAAGTCTGGAAATAAAATCATATCTAAAAGAAACTCTAACGATTAATTAGTATGTAACCGGAGTGATATGTACAACTATCAGTTTCAGTAGTAATGTATTCGACCGATTTGTAATAAGCTCATAAAAGATTAACTACTTCACTATAAAAAATAAAATCGATAATTTCTTCTACAAAATGCCACGCGAGAAAATGGTAAAACTGACAAAAAAGTTCCCAAAATCAGGGATACGTTTCACAAAAAAATAATTTGTGTCCGACATATCAGTGCAATAGTATGTTATTAATTAACTCAGTCTGTAATTAATTTTTAATTTAATTTAACTTTTTGTTATGGCTTAACTTCATGCCTTTTGACCATACCAGTATACAAAATAATTTCCTCTGAACTTCACGTCACAATCCCACGGTACCACTAAGCTTCTATTAAGTCTGTATTATGGCTTCTGTAATTTATTTTGATAGAATAATACACCGAATATATTTTATTCAATTACGTGACACATGACCTCGAAAACTTCAAACTGGGATATCATTTATTCCTGACTTCTCAGCTTAGTAAACCCAAAGCAAAATTTGTTCAGGAATTTAAACCCTATATTTTAACATGTTTTTCATAAACAGACGTATGAGAACAAAAATTTATATGGGAGCTTGCCATTGTCCTTTTAACACACTCTGTTTATTTTTCAGTTACTAATTTTAACGTAACTTAAGACGTTGATAAGCAATAACGTGTCAACCAGCATTATTATAGTTTTGACAAAATGGCGCCTAAAATTTTTTTCGTGGTAGTAGCTAATGGATTTCTGTCAACAGTTTTTACCATTTTCAGTTTCAAATCACTTACTTTATGTTTGTGAAATGTAGACGAGACGACAGGCTGCCATTTGGCATTAAAATCTCAATCTCTAGCCAGGGCTGGTAGCTGTAAAGGTAACTAACTGGTTGACGAAATACTTTCATAGTTTCTTAATAATTGGCGTTGCCGTAGCAAAAAAGTTGTAGAAAAACCAAATACAAAAGATCTGAAAAAAAGTACATAGTTCCGTGGCTTAGTTGGCATAGCGTCTGCCACGGTTTGCTAAGAGACGTTGGTTGGAATCCGGCCGGATTGAAGGAATTTATTCTGAGTGTTCGATCTTTGTATTGATAATTATAACAAAATTAGTGGAGTAATTTCAGTTAATTTAGTATAAATTTAATTAAAATCTCACATTTCTAGTTTTTGTGGATTAATAAGTTATTGATTATCAGCTTTCTAATCAGATCGCTGCAATTTCATTTGTTTTTCGGAACTAGTATTATTTGTCTTTTAAAAACACATATCAAGTTAACAGAAATTTCTTGCAAACCTTGAGGTATGTGCATTATGGCGGTGGTAGCTCCAGCAATGAGGTCTCCTAGAAGGTAGTTTTTGACCGAGTACTGCGGCAGCCATCGCAGCAGCGGCACGGATGTTGTGATGCACTCGGCGAAGCCGCAATCTCGAATAAACTTCTTGCACTGGTAGCGCCCTGTTTCAGGAGTGATTGTGTAATTAGTGGTTATAATACTAGCATTTCATAACGGAAATATACTTGATTGCCTAGTTATATGCCAAGTTTTTTTTTTATAATATCAAGTGACGGCACGAACAAGTCGTGCGTCTGATGGTAAGCTGATGAAGATGATGACAGGACGAAGAATAAAGATCTGAGTGGCTGCCACTGCATCTTGAGACATAACTTGACAAGTCCCATGTGCCTGTAATTTCACCAGCACCCTTAGCACCCAGTTACACGACGCGAAAGTTTTCACCGCCCAGTTACCACGCTTTCACGTACATTATTGACGAATCTGAATTCTATTTACTGGGCAACAACATTTAAATTCCTCTGAATAATACGACCGCGCGGTCGCTGCGTAGACCAAAGACGAGCCAGTCTCGCCCGCGGGCCCGGGACGCTCATTTAAATTAAAACTTAAAGGCTAAATTAATAGATCGTATTTTGCCATGACTTTAAAAAAACAGAAAATGTATACCATCCCATTCAATCAAAAGTAATTTTTAAAATTAGTGAATTCATATGTTTCATACAGCAATGACGTTACGTATTTGTAATTTAATTAAGAGTTTTCCTGATATTATCACTTTATAAATACACATTTTTGAAAGTCCGAGTACCGTTGCCAACACAGTCTCGTCCGTGGATTGTAGTCGGTAAACTTATTGCAATAAACAAGTTTCTTAACATTGTTACGGTTCAATGTCGTCCGAAGAAATAGTACATAGTTTCACATTTAGATAGACATTACGTAAAACAATGAACGAATTCAGCGCAAATATCTCGGTGCCATTAATTTTAAACTGTAGTAATTTAAAGTTCTTTCATATTCAAGATCTGCAATCATGGCGTACTCTCCTTCAAGCAATGATAGCCGATACAGCGCAAGTCCGGCCGTGCATGGCGTACTGTTGCCACATTTGGAATGGCTCTGCTACATACCAACTGGCCACTTTGGATTCAATTGACAAACCAAGAGGCTTATAGGTGACTCGGAATTAGTGGAGGTGAAGCTGCAGAGCCTTGAACACCGCCGTAAAGTTACCTGCTTCCGATATTTTACTGGATAATTCACGGAGAGTGTGCGATGGAATTACACGCTTTAATTCCGCCTTGCCCTTTCCATCACCGGCGGACTAGGCGTAGGTTTGGGTACCACCCATATACGTATAACAATAATGTTGTGGATATTCCAAAGATTCGCTCAAAGCGTTACGCTTGCACATTTAAATGGCGAACGGCTATGGAGTGGAATTTCCGGCCTGCAGACTTGTTCCCTGAACGTTATAACTTGGGCATTTTCAAGGCAAGAGTGAATAGGCATATTTAGGTGTACATGCTCCATCGATCTCATCGTCACTTTCCACCAGGTGAGATAAAGTTCAAATGCGCACTTATATTTTATATAAAAAAACTTGCATGGAATGTGACGTGTATCCGTTACTAAGTAACCATACTTGTTTAGTCACTCCAATATTGACTGTTGAATATAAAATGTATTACATAATTTAATTTTGTTTATTTTTATATATATTATACATATGTAATATTTTACCGATGATGTCGCTTGATGTAAAGAAAGTTAAACGTGCGCGAGTCACGTGTAGATAAGAACAATGCGGCGAAAACCAGACTTAGAAGCACCCCTGGACCTTCGGGAACGACGTCTTATGATTGTCACGGACACCGAGCTACGCACGAGAGCACTCCGCGCCCCGCGCCCCAACCGAGAGCGCGTCACTGTTCCCCGCACCCCGCACACTGCGTCGTACGGAGTCGCCGCCCCCCGCGCCCCGCGCCGACCGCCATCTCGCCGACACCTCTACTAGATAAGAGACTTGATTTAGGATATAAGTAGGAACATTTCGGTCAAATAAACGTAAAAGGCGAAATATTTCTGCGTTTTGAAGGGAAACCAGAGTGACTGGCGACTGTCGGTCAACGTCGCCAAAACCCAGGCGATCAGCGTGAGCACCTCGAAGAAGATGCCACCGAAGCTGACAGAAGCAATGGTGAGGAAATGTCCACATCTAACTACAACCCGGAATACGGAAAACCTCTCCAGGGCATTCAAACCAGGAGATAGAGTGCAGGCTCGTAGCTAGTAACACGATGCCTCAGACGGCTCCACTACAAGCTGCAAATAGAAAACAGCCTTGTAGGGGTTCGCCACTTAGACCGAATTCTGGAGTACCAGAGAGTTACTCAGTAGAGTCAAGGAATTGGGGCGGAGGAATGACGTGTATCCATTACTAAGTAAACATACTTGTTTAGTCATTCTGTTATTGACTGATGAATATAAAATGTGTTACATAATTTAATTTTGCTTATTTTGCGTATAGAATACAATGGGTTTGACTGCAGTGAGCTTACAAATACACTGTGCTTCTCGGTGCCTATGCGCATATGCGCAGCTCTCGTCTACGTCATGGACTATTTGCTCTTACGTGCTGTAGGACAAATTCTGGAGTGCGCGCCCCTCTAAGGCGGTTATTTCAAAATTATAATGCGCTATTGTCGGTAGTATACATAATTAATAGATTCAGGCGTTACTTTGTGGAAGTCCATGTAAATAAAAATGTAAGTAAATTAATTTGCTGCTCCGCGAACTCAGTGAAGGTTAAAGCGGGCAAAATAACTGCGCTTGTAATCGTAAGGGCTGTTGGTTTGTTCCGTAGCTCAGTTGAGAGAGCGTCAAGTACAGTATGCTGAAAGCATTGATTCAAATCCAGCCGGATCTAAGGAATTTTGCTTAGTGTTACATTAAAGATCTAATTAATTAGTAATTATAACAAACTGGGGTAGTAAAATATCGTGATTTTCTATAAACTTAATATCACTAACATGACGTGTGCGGATGATGGTAATCTGCGTCCCTGTTGAGCGTGTCCTGCTGGTACACCTTCCGCACCACGTTGAACTGCTGGTTAGACCGGGTTGGGGTCCTGTCGACAATAATCATTAGTTAATGCATATCCAAATTGTGACAGCAAAGTGAATGCGGTGTAACGGTGATTGACGACCTCCGCAGTATAGTGGTTTGTACAGTGGTTTACGTGGCGTCGCCATTTCTAAGAGTTCGATCCCCTGCCGGGTCAAGGTAATTTTTCTATATTTTTTTTTATATGTCATTCTAAGTGACGGGAGGAGCAAGTTGTGCGCCACGTCAAGCCTGTCCATAACAGTTGCAGTGTTACTCAGAGCTTTAAAACACTAAGATCTGAGGGGCAATTCCGATGCGCCCGTCACCCTGAGACAGACGTTGGTAAGTCTTATATGCCTGTAATTTCACCAGCAATCAAAACTGGAACGCAGTTATGCTCACATTACTGCTTGGCAGTAGAAATTGGTAAGGCAGCAGTATTTCGCTGGACGAACTCTTTCACAAGGAGCTCTACTGCTACGATATTTTCCCGGTTATGGGCGTTTGTGGTACCGTCGTTGTTTCCGATTTCCGTAACACGAGCGCTTTAGTTACTTTAAAATCAGAGTAACTTATGTGATGTTGTTTTATATTATTATAATTATATTATTATTCGAGTACGATTCCTATAGAAAGGTATGAATCAATAAAACTTTGCGAATTATGTACGTGAGGCGTTTAGCAACTATTTACTAGATGAGAGGAGGTCCTCAACAGTGTACAGCTGCTACCTTGTATTTGGGCTTATGTAATTTGTTAGATAGATAGATAAACACTTTATTCACTGATGTAACACAAATACAGATTAAGCATAAAAGAAAAAACAAAACATGATTGTCATAGCAGTGAAACGGCGCTGACTCAGCATATGCCAAAGTTTCCTAAGGCGCTGCTTTTCAGTCAGAACTAACGAGAGGGATTAAGTTATTTGAAAGCAAAAATATAACGACTACGAGTAAAGTTATACATTGACAATAATAATATACATAGTACAGTGTAAATAGTGTATTTAAAATAACCTGTTTGACATGTAAGTGCATGAGCAAATGTGAATATAATTACAGCTGTAGGTGTAAGTTATGACTGTAAAGAGGATTTAATGTTGTGTAATGTAATTAGTATTATAATATAATTATACACATAATAAGAATAGATCAAAGCAACAACAAAATTC